ATCCTGTGAAACCAGCACAAATGGCTATGTTTTTTCTGTTTTCTTTAATACTGGTAATGGATATTACAGTCAGTGGATGGAGATTTGGATTTGATGGTTTGAGTATGAATTATTACATGATGAATTGTCCATTCGCCGAGGGAATTATAAAGGATACTGTTAATAGAGCTTTGCTATCCGATCCCACTCTTGCTGCAGGCCTGATCAGGATGCATTTCCATGACTGCTTTATCGAGGTTCTCTCTCTCTCTCTCTCTCTCTCTCTCTCTCTCTCTCTCTCTCTCTCTCTCAATTTAGAGTCGTCTGCGTGAATCTTTTTCCACAATGTGATAAAGTTTTGCGCCATGTATCAACCTATCACAGTCTTCTTCCATTATCTGAACTTGAGACATTCTAGGGAAGACAAAGAAAAAGGATAGTATGAGCTGTTGGGCTTCAATCATGCTACATATACATAATCATTCAAACAATCTTTTATACCCCCCTCACATGGAGGGGATCCCACACACAATAAAATATTCGCGCACACTATTCATGTGATACGGGTGTACATACACCAAGTGTACAAACAGTTTTATCCATTGAGCTTTGGGCTTTGTCAGGAGAGGACACAAAAGTTTAAACTTAAGGGGACACAATCGAACTTGTAAAGAAATTGAGAGAAATTTTATAATCAAAAATTTACGTCTAAAAAAATCATACCCCATGTAATTTTACATTCGGAATTTACATGGGATATGACTTTTTTAAATGTAAAATTTCGAAAAAAAATATGTCATATTTCATATAAAATTTCCTAAGAAAATGATGAAAATTACATTGAGAAATTTGTATTGCAAAAATAATAAATGTTAATGAAATAATTGAATTTTTTAAAAGAAAATGCGAGTTAAACGTCCAACTCACGTTTAACGTATTTTAACTATTTTCGATAACTGTTTGGATTATTTGACATGCCTATAATGTAGTTCGATTAAATAAGCTTTGAGATGAGATAAGCAATTTGTAGATTCGATTAACGTACTATCGTGAAAGAATTTTTAAATTTAACATATTATCGAAATTTTCGAAATACTAATTTTGAACGACTTACTTTGACAAGTCGCAGCATTTACTATGATTGATCGTTTCATACGCCATTAACGACGTAGAAAACTAGACTGTGAACACTTCGAAATGGTATTAAGAATGCAATATTTTACCCTTATTTGATGGAGAGTTAAGATTTTGTTAAAATGAGAGAGAAAAAGAGAAAAATTAAAATTTATTGTAATTTTGTCACTGTTTGATGGAAATTAAAATCAATTTTTTAGTAAATTTTGATAAAAGTCAAATAGTTATGGATTTTATGAAATATATTATTAAAATTAATTGTTAACTTTAATTTAGATTAAAATTTAGCCTATGTTTGTTCTACATTATTTTTACTTTAAAATGAGT